TTTTGACCTTCCAACTTTTGTCATTCAAAAATGTGATACCATCACAGTAATTAAATTACAATTAATTTGTACTATTATGAGTGTTATTATATTAATACGTACTACTAATACATGTACTTACATATATATATATATATATATATATATATATATATATATATATACATATACATATATATATATATATATATATATATATATATATATATATATATATATATATATGTATATAGATATATAGAATATATACAGATTGAACGAATTTAAAACGAATCATACAATTTAATATATGTCTGTTTGAACTGCATTTGAAATAGTGGACCAATATAAAACTTGGACAAAAATAAATCCATACCCGGTGTTAGACATTGTATAAAATATCGTTCAACTATCTGTCTCTTTTTAGAACGCACCATAGTCTAGAGCGCAGCTCAAAGTCAATGTTGCCAATCGCCGTGTAATAATCCGATTTGCGGATCTTTTTAAGAGTTATATCTTCTTCGTATCTTTAAATAAATCGGATATTTGCCTATATTTTTCATTGTATTTACCAATCTACTACAACAGACTAATAACAAAAATAAACTTAATGGTTTTTAGTTATTTCATAAGTTTGTAGTTATTTTAGAAACATCTAGTGGAATGATATTGGCAACACCGCTCAAAATCTCCATCTCCGATAAACGAAAGAGGGGCTTGCCTAAAGGCGGCCACTCACGATACAGCGGCGTTGTTCAACTTGGTTTTTAACTAAACACTTGCTTTGATCATATTATAGAAAATCGAAATGGCTTGATTTAGCAAGAATTTTTCAAGAGAGTTTTTTAAATCATATAAAAAACAGGAATGCTATAGCGAATAAAAGGTAAAACGTATCACGATAGAAACGCCCGAAAACAGGCAATGGACATTCTAGTTTTAAAGTTACAAGGAGTAAACAAAGATGCGAATGAAGCGTATGTAAGAAAAAAAATTAACAATTTTAAAACATCCTATAAAAGAGAACTAAAATTAGCAGTGCAGTCCAGTAAATCGGGTGCAGGGGCAGACGAGATTTATTTTGCACCAAAATCTTGGATTCTTTGCACCAGAATCTATACACAAAGAATTTATACACAAAGCAAGAGACGCTATAATGATTGTTTGATTTGACATGGTCGAGAACCGAACAAATACTGCGGCGCAGTATGGTATGTGGGCGCACCAGATATACCAACAAATTGAACAACGCATCTGTCCGATTATGTCGAACGACACCGCTGTACCGTGAGTGGCTTTAGGAAGCAATAGGTGCTTTGACTACCTATGAATGAGTTCTTGAATTAGTTCAGAATCCAGCAGCCCGCTCAAGTATTGGATTTTTATAATATAATTATTTGACAACCTTTTGTTGGCCAACCACCTACAGCAGAATTGAGCCGAAATACATAGTATTTCGTATGTTCCGAATTTATTTCGTTCGATTCTGTATATATATATATATATATATATATATATATATATATATATATATATATATATATATATATATATATATATATATATATATATATATATATATATATATATATATATATATATATATGTTCGGATAGATTTCCGCGGTCAGATGAATGAAAATCACTAGGGTCTTGGGAAAACCGCGTTGAGAATTTAATGCTCGACGTTTCGGCTCGCATTTTGGAGCCGTTATCAAGAGGGATACGGTTCGGTTCAAGTTCGGGGTCTCAATCTGCCTACTCCCCTCACTCGAGACGTACCAGTATCATGTTCTGTATTATAAATACAAGAACTGTCTCTCGGCACTGAAGTCTCAATCTGCCTACACCTCAGTGTCGAGTGACACTGGATAGGTACTGGGAGGGTAAGACCGGTTGTCACTCGAAACTGAGGAGATTAACGCGCAGGTGTTGTTTTGTGCCAATAAAACAAATCCCAAAATATGTCGCCGAATTTTTCTAAAGAATTTAAGCTTGAGTTTAATGAAAGTACATCTTTCAGAAAGAGCGACAATGCGATATCTTCCTCAGGATATTCAAGGTTTTCTAATGAAATATAAATCATGTGAAGAACCTACTAGAACAGAAGTGCAAAGCTCTAGAAAACGTGGACATTGTGCAATATGTCCAGGCTCAAAAAATTCCAGCACAACAGTTAGATGTGGGCTATGTAGAATATCTGTATGTAAAATGCATTCAGAAACCACAATTACCTGCAACAATGAACGGCAGCAATCAGAAGGATAACCCGTAGGTACATGTTTTATGTTTATTATTTTATGTAACAATAAACTATTTTTGTAAATCGTGGTTGTCATTTTGTTAAAACGCACTAAATTTGGTAAAATCAACTAAAATGTGTTTTGTGTACAAAATACACAGTGCACCCGGTTATGAAACGGTAGTCGGCGCGCCTGCTGTAGGATTAATTTTTGCTTGAAAATTAATACAATGAAAAATGCATGGCCTTTGTTAGGTGCAGTGGCACTGATACTTTGTATTAGAGCAGCACTGAGCCTTCGAAATAAAAGAAAACGTTGATACAAACAGAGGCCCACTAACCAGAACAGAAAGACAAGAGGTAATTTTAATTATTATAAAAATATAAAAAACTGGGATACCCAGCAGTTTTATAAATACACCAGGATACAGTTTCCAGTATTTGAAAAATTACTGCAAATGGTAAAATCAAAAATAAATGTAAACTATCGCTCTGATCGAATTTCTGTTGAAGAGAGGCTTGTTATTATTTAAACTTTTGATCTTTATAAACATGTAAAAACATAAACAAATAATTTAGTTTTTGATTTGTTTGACAAACCTTGTTACTTTTTCGATATTGCTATTGGCTGCGATGACAAAGATACAGTTTTATTTTATGTTCTGAGATCGTGACTAAAATCACAGAAGGGTTTGTAAATTATGTGCTACAACGGCCAACGGCAAAAGATAAAGTTGGTTTATCTTGAACGAAATCGAACGCAGACGCCAACGGCGAACGATGTTTATAAATAGACATACGAGTTTTCCATTTGACCATGTGGTAACGCGAACGTAAGCGCCAGTGCCAAGTCCAACGTAAAGTTGATAAATCAGCCTTAAATAAAGAAGATTTTAGAATATAAGTAAACAACCAACTTTACAAGGGTTCTTACTTACAAAAGCAATATATAGTTTTTGTAGATGTTATAAAAACTCTACGATAACTTAAGATTAAAAATTAATAAATAAACGAGAAAAAGGAAACAAAAAAATACAAGAAAAACTGTAAGAGCACTATAATTCATTTAATTTTGACCGATGGCTTTATTTGAATGTTGGTTTAAGCTCTTTCGAGCGTCAAACCACACTGACCATTTCGATTGTTTTCTATCAGTTGTAGGATGTCATAATTTTTACATGTGACGTGTTGTCGTACATGTGTTTCTTTGGAATGCAGGGAGGTACGATTATTGAGAAAATTAGTAAGCGGAACGGGGACAGACCTTTTTTTAAAAAATGATAAATTTTTTCTTTTTCTTTAAAAAACAAACAAACAAAAAAAGGAAAGAAGAATGAGAATAAAGTTACTGTCCTAAAAGGGGTTTTTTATTTGTTTTGTATGATGAGAGAGTAATACTACAACTAATAGAAAACAATCGAAAAGATTAGTGTGGTTTGACCTTCGAAAGGGCTTAAACCAACATTCAAATGAAGCCATCGGTCAAAATTAAATAAAAAATAGTGCTCTTACAGTGTTTTTTTTCTATTTTTTTGTTTCGTTTCTCTCGTTTAGTTATTAATTTTTAATGTTAAGTTATCGTAGAATTTTTATAACATCTGAAAAAAACCTACAAATTGTTTTTGTAAGTATGAACCCTGTTGGCTGTTTACTTATATTTTGAAATCTTTTTGAATTGTAGTGAACTGATGATGCTTTTAAAAATGAACGAAACGTATTAGAATAAATCAATGAAGTAGTTGACGACTTTCATTTGCCAATTATTGACCGATAAAATCTCTGCTATTCAACCACTGAATATATATATATATATATATATATATATATATATATATATATATATATATATATATAAACTGAAACCTGATAAAACCAACACAACAAAACCGTTATTATCGAATCTTAGGAAGAGCGCCCACCAAAGTGGCGTGGCAGTGGCAAGTAGCAAGTAGCACGCGTCTAGCATTATGCTAGACGCGTGCTACTTGCTACTTGCCATTGCCACGCCACTTTGGTGGGCGCTCTCCCTAACGATTCAAGAATGATGTAGTAAAGCATAACATAATAACTGGAATAAAAATAAAATGCCTCTGCAGACTGCCTTACAAGTTTTCTTAAACAACACCAAACATTATCCCTCAGAACTCCCAAGTTAACTAGCCTTAGTCTACAATTTTCAATAAGTCGAACGTGAATGGTTTTTTTCTCTTATGTAGGTGGTTACGGATCAATATAAATTGGAATGATCAATGTCGGAGAAATGGGTATAACCATTGTTGTCTGCAACGGTCAGATAGAATTATTACAAAAAAGTCATAAAGTAAGTGAGTTTTGTAACCTTTGCTGAAAGGAAACCTGATATCATTTTGTTTAGCCGTTAGTGTCAGTGGTAATGCAATTCCCCCTATGTTCATATTGCCAAGATAAAACTATTAGCGAGTATTTTGTCAACATTAGTCGTCCAGGATGTGTCGGATTCACAAATCAATCAGGTTGAATAACAGAGGATGATTTCTTGATTCTTTAAAAGCATTTTTAAAACATTTCAGGTCTTGTCGAGAGTTCTATTAGTACTGTATAATCATGACTCTCGCCTGTCATTAAAAAGTATTACTTTTATATAAAAATAATGATGTGGTAGTAATGTTCCTGTCACACTGTTCTTGCTAGCACCATCCTTTAGATTATTCAAGATATTGACCCTTTAAGATATACATTCTTCTTCTTCAGGTGCCATCTCCGCTAAGGGGGTTGGTAATCATCATAGCTATTTTAATTTTTGAGGCGGTAGCTCTAAATAGTTGTTTTGAGCTGCATCCAAACCATTCTCTTAGGTTTTTAAGCCATGAAATTCATCTTCTTCCTATGCTTCTTCTGTCGTCCTTTGTTCCGTGCATAATGAGTCGCAGGATGCCATACTTCTCTCCCCGCATTACATATCCGAGATACTGTAGCATTCTTTCTTTAATTATTGTAAGTTCAACTTCCTTCTCTTTACCTATTCTTCTCAGTACTTCATTGTTCCTAACTCTATCTACCCAGAAAACCCTTATAATTATTCTACAGTTCCACATTTCAAAGGCGTTAAGTCGTCTTATTTTGTCTAGATTTAACGTCGATGATTCCACTCCATAGTATAGTACACTGTATACGTATAGATAGATAGAAGATAAACATATACAGTGCTTAAGATTTACAGATTAGCAATCATCTAGGGAAAACAATGTCTAAGCATTGTTCAATCACAAATTAACCTCCTAATTTGTAACCTCACATTATTCTTAACTTCTTAATATTTTATAGTTTCACCGTGTATAAGTGAGTCATTGTAAAACCATATCGTATAATATTTTAATAATTAGTGCATTTACCTACAACTAAATAAATTGCCAAATAATTCTTCTTTTTAACGTGCCCTATCAAGTCCCCTTGACGTTGGCGATTAACATGGCGAAACTGTCTCTGTCTCGAGCTATTCTAAAGAGTTGCTCAGCTTTCTTTATTCCTGTCCACTCTCTGATATTCTTCAACCAAGAGGCCTGCTTTCTACCAATTCCTCTGCGTCCTTCGATTTTACCCATCATAATAAGTTGAAGAATATTATATCGGTCTACCCATACTACGTGTCCAAAATAGGCCATCTTTCTACATTTGATGTTATCAAGCAGCTCGCGAGCAGCATTTGCTCTCTGAAGGACTGCCACATTTGTCAGCATAGCCGTCCATGGAATTTTTAGTATACGTCTGTGCAGCCACATTTCAAAGGCCTCCAGACGATTAATGGTGGATATTTTTAATGTCCATGCTTCGACACCGTATAAGAGAACTGACCAAATGTAGCATTTAACTATACGCTTTTGAAGTTGAAGTTTCAAGTTAACAATACAGAAAAATGACCTCATTTTTAAAAATGTCGTGCGGGCTATCTCGATTCTACATTTTATCTCTTGATCTGGATTTAGTTGTTCAGTAATATGGCAACCAAGATATTTAAAACTGGACACTCTTTGAATTATATGACCATCAACATATAATCGTGCATCTTGATGTGCTAAACGGCTAAACACCATGTGTTTTGCTCTTCCCATTGTATTAATGGCATTTAAAAGGCATTTAATTAATTATTAATTTGTGATGCTGTACTCGATTAAAGGCCTTTTTATAGTCAATAAATACAGCAAAGACATCTTTCCTTTGATCTCGACATTTCTGCAGTAATACATTTAGTGCAAAGAGTGCGTCCCGAGTTCCCAGTCCATTTCTGAAGCCAAATTGTGTTTCATCCTGATCGTCTTCACATTTATCTCTGATTCTACTGTGGATGATGCGTAGAAATATTTTCAAAGTGTGGCCCATAAGGCTTATCATTCTATAATCGCTACAGTTTTTCGGACGTTGTTTTTTTGGTAGTGTTATAAATTCGGACTTTAAACAATCTTCAGGGATATCACCAGTCGAATAAACATCATTGAAAAGTTTGACCAGTATTCCAGTGTTCTTGAATAATATATTTTCTAATTGAACTTCCTAAGTGTCGCAATTAAGGCCTAGATTAAAATTTATTGTAAGCAAATAGTTCAAAGTTTTGTGGTATGGTATGATAGAAAGCAATAACCTCTGTGCTGAGGTATTAATTATTTGTGAGATTATAAATTGGGCATTTAAACTCATTTGAGCACAGTCTATCATAAGTAGTTACCTTACAAACATCATATTGTGTAATTACTAGTAAGTGTTAATAAATTAACAATTTTACTCCACAACTTCAACCTTTTATTATATTTATCATCGTCGATCAACAAAGAAGTGGACATTTACAAACCGATTCGAACTTCATAACTAGGTTCGAAATTTTCCAGCATGACACTCGCAATTGTGAAAGACGTTACGCACCATTATTTTAGACGGTGTTGTTGTTGTTGCTGTTTTTGTTGTTACAGATACTGTTACAAACCATTTAAATCCGGAGAACGATGTGAGAAAAAACGAAGATATTACAGAAATTCAAACCATTAAAATTACTGTTAGTAATGTACGTACGGCTATTAGAGACAGTCTAAATCCGGAGAATGATAAGAGAGAGAGAGAAAGAGAGAGAACAATGTTATTGCAGAAATTCAAACAGGCCAAGTTTACCCATAACAATGAAATAATTTAGAGTTAAAATCTATAAATTGACCTAGACCTTCTGGTACAAAAATTTATACCTTTCGCCAGAACATCCACACCAAAGGCTAAAAGCAAAGTAAAACCACGAAAAGATCGAAAACTCGGTCGGTTAGCCATTTGGACTAATACTTCAAATAAAAAGGAATTGAAAATCGTACAAAACACGGAAGAACAATAAATGGTGCCAGACAATCTGGTTTAGAAATAAGTTTATGCATTAAAGGTAAAGATGCAGTTAAAAGCAGTTCTGAAGACGAGGACGAAACTTTTTGTTTAGTGTGTGGTGAACGTCTTTTGAACCCTTGGCCAAAACAAATAATTGTTATGTTATGTTGTTATGTTAATCAGCTGTTCCAAGTGGTCTTCTGAAGAGTGCACCTACGGAAGTCTATATTTCGTGTGCATTCACTGTAACTCTGACGACGATATGTAAAGAACTATGGCTTGCTACAACCAACTCCTTAAGTGTAACAACCAACCCCAGTTCGATGCAAGATGTGACACATGGAATTACCCCTTTGCTAATAATTCTATAAAAAAATATTTATACTCTTTATAATAAATAACTTTAAATTAAAGTTTATTTAGCTTTTTTGGATTTTTTACATTTTTTATAAGAAAAGGTTTATATAAAATAAGTACGTTCAATTAAACTTTATAGAATAATATAATTAATTATCTTGATGTTCAAAAGATTAAACGTCCTAAAAGGATACATCGATAAAAGGAAAATTAAAAGGAAAATAAAGACTGCTAGAAGGAGGCTTGATAAAAAAAAAGTGCAAAAAGATTAAACTTTTAGATTCAAGATATAATATATACACAGTGAATCTTTAGGAAGAACGGTTTTTAGATAATGTCCAATAAGTTTAAAATATGCCACAGCCTGTGCTGTTTTCATGGATGGACATAGGTCCCATCTTACTAAACAAGTCAACAAATTATCTGAAGCAAGTGGTATCATCCTGATTGTTTTTTTCCCGAACGTCAGTCATATTCTCCAACGAGTTGATGTTTTAATTTTTAAACTTTTAAAAACTGGTTGGTAGACAACAGTAAGAACAAGAAAATTTGAAACTTTTCAAAGGACGTAACAAAGTATACATCTGCAACCATTCTAAGTACGTTTTTTTTTAATATGCAACGGAATGTATAATACGCAACAAACGCAACAAGAAAAAAATACCACCACTTAAACTTAATCATTTTAGAACAAATTTTAATAATAAAGATGACTGGAAGGGAGACTTACAATTTAAGAAACTTTATGAGGTTTGGACAGAGTTTTAGAATAAAATTTTATTAGTAACAAATAAACATAAACATGTCACTTGTAAGGATAACTTTAATTGAATTCAAGAAAAAAAAAGAAGAAATGTCAATATCAATTTCAGTTGCAACGGTGTGAACTCTAACTCACGGTTCTTAGACTTACTACGGTTGCCTCTTCCGACTGGGGAGGGGATGCTTGAGTTACGTCACAGGAGTACACAAGAATACAAAACTCATTTATTGGCGATTGAAACTGAATGTAGAGGGCAGGTCGATTGCAGTGTCATGGCCGATATAAATGGTATAAACAAAAACAAACATAACATTCGAATATTTACCATTGCTTTTCCATGTTTAGTTTGGTTTAAGACGAGTTATTTGTATCATTTAATAATGGAAATTAACCTTAATGATATCTTTGAGTATTGTGGTAAAGCAAAGAGTCCATTGGTTGAAGGGGAAGCAGTTTTCAAGTGATGAATTCCTAAATTTTAACTTTAATGTTTCGAACTGGCTTGTGTATTGATGATGATGAATCCTATTTTGTGTATACCTGGGAACCCAGAATATAATATTCTGTGTAATGTTTGCCTTAACGTATATATGCATTATTATATTATGTTTTTAATATGTTAATTTTTATTTTATACTATTTTTTGACATATGTAAGTACTTTATTGTATATTAACATAAATAAATAACTTTAACTTGGCTTTATTGTAAAATAGTTCATTTGATTACATGAAATCAACCTACTTTATTTATAAAACATTTTTGTTTTGATACATCCATCCAATCACAGGGCTGAATTTTAAGATTCAAATTACGTCACAGGAGTACAATCCGGGTTAATGTTCATTGGTTAGGCGGAAGAGCCAACCGTAGTAAGTCTAGGAACCGTGACTCTAACTCATATCGCTGACCAAAGAGAGGAGAGGGTAATTCATTCAAATACAGAACTGTCACAGAACGGTAGGAGCACAATTTTAAAAGATAAAAGTACTACTTCACTAAATGTTTCTGACTTATTTCCTTTACCGGATAAATTCGAAAATGTTGCTCTGCATAAAGACAAATAATACCAGAATCTGTGATTATCATTCCTTTTAAAAAATGTTAATTTTTCGTAATGCTTCTAAAAAAGAACCACCAAAAAGAAAACGAAAAATATTTCCTGCAGTTGTATCCACCACAATTTACAGGGTTCAATATGAAAATATAACATCTAAACGGTCCTTCAAAACAATCACAAATTACAATAAAAAAGCCTACAGTAACGAGAAAAGTAATAACCGAATCTAAATCTTCCGACCATGTAGTATAACCATTGTGTAATACCACCGTATTATACCTTCTGTGATAAAAATCTAGATGCAAGTGATGTTGAAAATGATACAATCAAGAATATTGTTGGTGGAGTTTTTTTGTTGTTATCAAATAGAATGGAGATCTTTATTCAGGTAACATTCTATAAATGTAATATATTTGTTGTCTTCGTTTTTTAGAGTTTTAAGGGAATTCTATTTTAATTATCAATTTTTTCCTTTGTTCTAGGAAAACTGATAAATGGTAACAAGAATCTGGAAAATGGAAATCTCAATGAAAAAAGAAGGATATGACTGGAAATTATCAAAAAAGAAGATACATTATTTTATTTTTATTAGTATATTAAGATTATAAGGAAACCATTTGTTAAAAACAAACGATGCTATGACTCAGTACCACACTTATCTAGTTTTTTTAAGTATTTATACCATTTTTGAGTGACAATTGTTTTTTAGGTAGGACTTAAATTATCGAGAGTCCATCACTAGACTTTATGACCATTACTGGCGCTTTTGGCATTTGTGTAGCAAAAAACACTTTAATTGAGAAGTATTACTTTACTTCTCATTACTTACCTAGACGCTGTTTCCTTGTAAAACATCCCATGTTGACTCCAAACTCACTTCCAGTAGATAGACAACCAACAATACTGTAGTCACAAAATTCAGTTATGAAGGTCGCAGTTTTGTTTGTGTTACTGTTTATATCCTTTAATTATAGTAGTTCTGTTGTTTAACGGTGCATTATTACCTGCAATATAAAACAGTATATTTATTAGATATGACAATTAAATAGCAAGGAAATATTTATTTCGTCATACATAAATAATTATCGACTTTCAAGCCATCGTTTTTATTATAGCTAGTAGATAAACAAAAAAAAAAGATAATTTATACTAAACTTGATATTTATACCTACAATGGAATATTGCGATAATAATATAGAGACTATTGGAAAAATGTTGGATTTATTTTGCGTAGCGAATGAGATGACAATAGTTAATAATTCTAATAGGATTAGTTTTAATATGGTGTTTGGTGTATTGCTGCACACATCATAGAAAATGCAAGGGGGAATTTTTAAACTGTCCAATGTCCTATGTTTCTTATTATTTATCTCCAAACTTATAAGCTATGTATCAATTATTGAAATATACGCATTTTGAAAACAACTATTCTTCA